ATCAAGAAATCGACTCCATATCATACAGGGCGTGCTAAAATTACTATTATTAACAATGTGCATAAAAGTAGTCGAAAGTTCATTTTTTCAAATGAAACCCCCTGTATATTACTCGATGAATTGAAAGATGGTAAAAATGCTTCAAGATGATATGCATGTCCCTATACCTAAATCGTCAAGTTTTCTTAATAAAGCTGTTTTCATGGAAAAATAGTTATTCGCGTTTTACCTACGCAAGTGTTGAAAGTGGCATTTTATTTTGTGAGTGGGGATTATTGCAAAACGAGCGTCAGCAAGTGGAGCAAACTCACGAGCAAAATAAAATCACTTTCAACAAATGTATCATACAAACTTTTTTGTATAACGTTACTGCTGATAATAAAAAAATTATAGGGTCCATGGGATTTGAACACACGATCTTTGGATTACAAGGCATATGTTACAACTACATACGCCAACTCACGTTATTTCAAGGAGGATTATTGGTTAGTCATGAAGGACTTTCTACAGTTGAACTGAATACTACTTCGTCATCGTCAGTAACTTCACAGGGATTTAATATTACCAATAGCACGAACTGCATGTGTGAACTTTTCTAAATGATTTTTTGGTAGGTGTTCTGATTGAAGTGTTTCTATCAAAGAGATTTTCAATAACAGTTGTACAAAAAATAATTTTTAAAGAATTTGATTTCTAGGTAGCCGTGGAAATATAAAGCTTATGACAGTTCGGTGACTTTTATAAGTAATTGATAAATGGTTATTGACGGTGTTTCAAAAAATCGCCAAAAATGAATGCAAATATTGATTATTCAAACGAAGTTCTTATGAAATTATTTATTATACACGGACAGTGTGATCGAATCATTATCAAAACTTGTAGAAAATTCAATCAAATGTGTTTTGAATTAACACCAATGAACGAGAGGAAGTTTGTAAGATTACAAAATAATTTCCTTAACTACGGCTCCATGTTAAAAGCGCCTTCAACATTACCAAAACCTGTTACTTCAAATGAGGACAATACTGTTAATATTTTGGCATATTTTTATGCATATCCAGAAGCTTCCATTCGCAGTGCAGAAAAAGATTTATGTGTATCACATGCTTCAAATACAACGAATTTTGAAAAATCACGGAATGCATCCGTATAAATTTACCAAAGTTCAAGCTCTAAAAGCAGATGACTTCGAACGTAGAATGCATTTTTATGAATCCCTTTTGATTCATACGCAGGAAGATCGGGAATTTTTGTCAAAAATAATTTGGAGCGACGAATCAAAATTTACGAGGGATGGTATTTTCAATAGAAAGAATAAACATTTTTGGGCTGATCATAATCCTCATGTTACAAAAGAAATATGTTTTCAAGAAAAATTTGAGCTGAATGTTTTCTGTATTCTGAAGAACAATAAAATTAGCTTTTTTGATTAAGAAGACACGCTGAATGCAGAGAGATATCTCCAAATATTAAGGACGACTCTAACCGATTTTCTTGAGAATTTGCCTTTTGAGGAATATAGAAATTCGTGGTTTCAACTGGACGGAGCGCCAGCTAATTCCACCCAGGAAGTTTCCAGGAAACTTGACGAACTCTTCGACGATCGTTGGTTAAGGCGTTTAGGGCCATGGGATTGGCACCGAGATCACAAGATCTCACGGCACTTGACTTTTTTCATGGGGTGTTTTGAAAGAAAGGATATACAGTACTCCAGTGCCTACCAAAGAAGAATTGCGACGGCGAATAGTGCGGAGTATTGAAGATCTGGATCCCCAGGAAATTGAAAAAGCAACCACAAGTCGCGTACAAAAAAATATTTTAAAGTGTTTAGAATGTAATGGACAACAATTTCAGCATTTATTGTGAAAATGTGATATTTTGTTTACAATTTTGTTATTTTGAATCATCCTATTCTGTTATTGTCAGTACTTTCACATGTTTTAGCCCACAAAATCTTACTTTTTACCTAGAAATGACTGATTTTTGGTAAAGTTGTTCCCTGGAAACTTTGAGCCATAGTTAAGGAAATTATTTTGTAACCTTACAAACTTCCTTTCGTTCATTGGTGTTAATTCAGGAAACATTTGGTTGAATTTTTTACACGTTCTGACAATGATTTGATCACTTTGTTCATGTGTATAATAAATAATTTCATAAAAACTTCGTTTGAATAATCGATATTTGCATACATTTTGGAAGATGATTCGAAACACCGTCGATAACTCTTTGTTAATTACTTATAAAAGTAACCGAACTGCTATAAGCTTGATAATTCCACTGCTACCTAAATCCAAAAATAATGTTTCTAGAAGAAGCGGCTTTATTGAGAAAACTTGACGATTTAAGTATGGGGACATGATATATCATCTTGAAGCATTTTTCACCATCTTTCAATTTACCGAGTAATATACAGGGAGTTTCATTTGAAAAAATTAACTTTTGACTACTTTTATGCACAATGGAAATAATAGTAATTTTAGCACGCCCTGTATGATATGGAGTCGATTTCTTGGTGTTATTTGAATATTTCTAGTTTGTCCAAAATATCGTCAAAATATCAACTTTTCATGAATTGAGAGTACTGATGTACTTAATTTCAATTAAGGCTATGTTTGGGAGCGTATTTAGCACAATTAATTTTTTAATCTCGAAAACAGATAGAGATAGGTATAGGACATTATCAACAGAAAAATATTAAAATACCAGAGCGATTCCAAAAATGTATTAATATACAGGGTGTTCCTTTAAAAAAAATTTCTAGGACTTTCTGATGGAAGTGTACAGGTACGGAAATGTAAGAGGTGAAATTTTCAGAAAAATCATGCTTTGCGTTTTCCAGAAACGTCTAACCTACCATCAACCGTGATTCACGCTGTATTAATATAATATTCACCAAACTGTTTCGAACGAAATTATAATTTTGGCAGCGACATCCCTACTAATATTATAAATGCGAATGTAAGTTTGTTTGTTACGGTTTCACGAGAAAACTACTCAACCGATCATCATGAAATTTTGTACACATGTTCTTGATGGTATAAGAAGTAACATAGGATACTTTTATTAAAAAAAAAACAATTATTTTTTATGTAAAAAAAAAAAATCTGTCAAAATAATCTCAAAATCTAGCTACTTTAACGTCATCTAGCATTCCAGTAATGAAGTTCCAACCCTTTGTACCGTAATACAGTCACACTGTATTATTCACAGTCACGATATATAGGAGTACTTTTCAGAGCCAGCTCTGAGAAATATACCAAAAATGGGGATGCCGGCAGTTGAAATTTTGGCGGAGTCGCCGAGATCAATTCTCGAATATAGAAAATGTGTTCATTGGTTTTCAATCGAATATTTCTCTCTATTTTATTCACAATATTTTCACGACACTCATGAGTATTGGTCCATAAACTGTTAACTATTTTTCCGCATCTAGTTTGTTATCAATTTCAAAAATATCTGGTACAGAACCCCAGATATTCAACTTTCTTCTAGAGATGTAGGTCCCCATATTTAAGTCCTCCCGATAAATGGTATTATCATCGATGTTGAAGGCAACCTCAAGTAGAAGCCATAAGGCAGCATTGATTTCCTGTATCAAACTTAATGAACATACTCAACACAAACGTTTCAATTCCTCGTTTTTCCGTCGGGACGTAACCTCGATTATGTCGTCGAAATTAAACGATGACTAATAGATTTAATTATTCGGCAAGCAGTAGGACGTTAGCGCAGGAGAATATATAACGCGGTCCCGGAGGATTAGCACACGATAAGAGTGATGTATGGCGGGAAGTCGTGAAGACGTGGCGGGAGATTAGTGGGGATCGCTTGTAGAGCACGGGGTTGCTTCCGGTCGTGACAGCCCAGATAAATCACCCGTCTCGTGCGTCGTCGATTAATGGCCGAACAAATGTGGAAAACCACCTCTGCACTTTGGGGTGTTTCTAGTGAAACATCGTTCGAGCCGGCGAATATTGAGAGTTTATGTTCTGCGGGCTGATTTATGATCTCTCGTCGTCCCGACGACTCGATATATATTGCCAATAGTGCGCATCGAGTGTGATACGGGAACATTGTATTGGGACATTTTTCACCCGAGCTATTGATACGTCGATTTATATTCGTTTGATGCGGTTGTCGGGGCGGAATAGCGGAAATTAGACATTCTGGTGGTTATGTTGGCATTCTTTCATATTCTCTCTCATATACTAGTATAAAAGTTGAATATCTGTTCACAATATTGTTCCTCTAGGATATGTTTCAAAAATCACCTGTTTTTACTTATACATATTGGCATTGTATCTGTATCTGTAGAGTGGGGAGGGTGAGTGTAAGCCCACAGCACTTAGGCCACATGTGACCCATTGTACATCCTCCCGAGGAGTTTTCCTCCTAGGTCATCGTCCATCCTGTCCTTTCCAGGACAGTCGCTTATCATATAAACTACAACTTAATAGTAGTAAAACTCAGAATATCACATTTTCTACAAATAATTCGCTCATGGAGGACAATAACGTTGAATTATTGGGAATAACTATTGATAATAGACTTGGCTGGAATTGTCATATCGAACAACTCAGACATAAACTTTCTAGTACGCTATTTTTGTAACGGTCTAAATTTACTTGTAAATATTGTAGATATTGTTCGTTTATTTATTATGGAATCGACAGAATTGTCATTTATTGATGACGAACTTTTCGTCACAGCTAGGGACACATCTGGTTTGTCAGTGTGCCCAACCTACATTTTCAAAGAAGTTGTTACGTTTCAATTTAGCACTAGATCAAACTGCTCTTTAATTCAGTTACAAGTTCATTTTATTCATTTAACATCATAGTAATGGGAATCTTCCGTTCCATAGAAAACCATACCTGAAATGTACAAGAATAAATGTATGCTCCCTGACTAACTGCTTTGACCAGTACTTACGCATTCTCCTTTTGCCAATCGACGTTGGAGATCCGAAATTCCTCGCTAGGTTGAAATAGTTGTTATTGTTTGTTTCTCAGTTTACTTCGCCTATCATTTTTCAGCCGCTGCCTGCCTTATTCTCTATACCTTTCCGAGAATATTTCTTGCATAGATTGTTATTCATCACTTCCAGAAGGATTACTACATATTAGAGCCATATCGCCTGAAAAACAATATTAGTTAGCTCTGGGTTACTGAATACTGTTTGATATTTTCGGTAAATATTCTGCATAACATGAATGCTCTAATATTTGTACTGAAAGGGAAGGATGTGGCGACTTACCTTATATGTTTCTATTCCATCGCATAAATAAGGATTGGTAAATAGTTGAAAATAGGTTGGAACAATATTTTGTAAACTTTCGTAAACAAGGTTAAAAGACAGCTGTTGGTTGACATCTGCCGAACTTTCGTAGTGTCGTTCCGTCGACTTACCCCGAACTAGTTCTACAGTTGTTCACGGGTGGAGGATTTATCGGTTACTCAAGTTGTCAAGGGTTGTTTAGGGGTTGCATTGCTTTGAGAAGGAGTTTTGATGGGTCATGGACTTGTTGATGATGTATCAAGTGGCTGTGGAGGAATTGTTAGATTTATGATGTTGTGCACAGCGCCCCCTTGGTGCTTGTAGTGTAGATTGGATGCACTGTGGCAACAACTGGTTAGCTGTCAGATGTGGCAGTCGCTTAGTATTTGGAAGTTAGCCTTCGGTGAGCTTGGTTCGGAGTTCAAAGGGTACCATCAGACTGATTGTAGGATATATTTGGTTGTATTTGTGCCATCCTTCACGGGGATTATTTCTACAAGTCAGGATTGTATAGTGGAAGACTGATTGGTCATTTTGGTGTGGATATTTGCAGTCTGAAACTTAAGCTCTTTTGAGGATTTGTGGTGGTTACCGAACTCGTGCCAGGTGGGAGGATTTCCGAAATTAGGTATGTCTGAATCACTGTCGCATCTCTCATGTGATCTTAGCTATGATATCACTTCTTCAATTCTACAACCTTCGTTTCTCGTCTCTAGATTCATAAGAAAGAGAAGGCCCTCAGTCACTCATCAAGTCCCAGTAGGACTTCCGTGCAGAGCACCGCACACGACGAAACGTATAGAAAACCCCTTGGCCAGGGTAAGAATTTTACCATTAAATGTGTTTTTGATGAGTTTAGTAATTTCTGATTCCATCGTTATATCTCAAATGAATATTAGTATTGAAGAGAGGTTTCAACACTCATTCAATTTTCTTGATTTTTACGGATCATATGGTTATACAGGGCACCCAAAAATATACTCTTGTTATCTTGCTACTTTGCTTGATGAAAATATACCAGGGGTATTGATTAGTCAAATAGTCCTATTGAATGGGGGTTGAATCTCACCTTGTTTCATCTGATTCTGATTGAGAATTTTCTTCCGTAGGGTTTTTCTTCCTGCTTTTCTTTTCCTGTTTTTTTTTTTTGTCTTCGTTCCTGGTTCCTTTTTCTTTTCCTGTCTTTTTTTTTCCCCTATTTTCTTTCTGGATCTTATTTGGTGATCCATTACTGGTCCAGCTTGTCGTGCCCTACAGGGTGATCTATCTTGGTGGTGCTACAGGGTGATCCACCTCCGCCGTACTACAGGGTGATCCATCTCAGCAGTACTACAGGGTGATCCACTTCCGCCATACTACAGGGTAGCCTAACACCATATACCGGGTGGCCCAAAAGGAGCACGCAAGTTATAATTGATTTATTTGAAAATTTGTGCAATACTGAGATATTTAAATAATTGTTTGCCCTTATGTTTATTGACACCTGTTGATATAGTGTTGTTTATAGTTTATTGATTAAGAGTTGTTTATTGATACCTGATTGATATAGATATTTGTGAAACGGAAATTGAGGTATATTCTTCCTTTCACGATTGCTGATTGACACCGATGCGCCTACGCCTGAGCTCACGCGACGCAAACGAGTTTGTCTTACCATCCGATACTAGTATTTACGATTTCACCTACTCAATTTTCGTGGTAGTTTTACTCGACGTATTGTAGTTTTTTTTGAGCGTCGTTACTACCGTAATTTATGGCTGATTGAATTCGTGGTATATACACCGCGCTCTTGTATGGACATTTGAACATCGCGTAGTAGTGTGAATATTGCATTGTTGTCTTAGAAGCGTTGTTGGTTAATCCATGGAAGTTAGGATTACTGAATAAATCATATTGGGGACCTTTATCTTTTATTTCCAATATTAATTGGTAAGTTATTGATATTGTGAGTTACTTAGGGTATCTGGAGGATTAAATTTACCTGGCGCCCATTAAGATCTATTTGAAATTTGCTAAGTTGTTTAACCCACTCCCGTCTCCACTGTTTAGCTTAGCCGCGGATACCCATCTGTCTTATTTGTTACCGACAGATGATTTAGTCTCCTCTTGTGGTTTGTGAGGTGACATTTTTACTTCGGCAATTGAAGAGACTTTTTTATGCTCATACGAGTGACGGTATCATAATGTGGGGTAACTCGTCAAAGTCACTGCAAATCTTTCGACTACAAAATACGGCCCCGAGAATAATTTTAAATTGTAATAGCAGAGAACATTGTCGTCCTTTATTTGTTCGCCTCAAAATTTTATCGCTACCTTGCTTGTACATATATGAGACTCTTATAGAAATACATAGACAAAAAAGAAATTTGGTAACACAATCTCAAGTACATTCCTATGATACAATAAGATCACATTATATCAGAACTCCCAGGCACAGGCTTACAGTCTCCCAAATAAATTCACCAGAATATCATGTGTATAATATATTACCATTATCTCAATATAATTTCCTTTCAAAAAAAGATAAATAGATTTGTTTTGCAGCACTGCTTCTATTCAGTGGTTGAGTTCAAAGAATATATGCAACATCATGAAGTGCCTCTTTGAACACTCCTTTCAGATCCCATTCGCTCGACTCAGTTTTCTCAGAAGTGCTCTGATAAATATCATCACTATTTTCATTTTTTGGATCAGAATGATCATGAATATACTCAACGTGACAATCTTAATTTGTCGCTACTATGACCTTCTAGGATTTTAATATATTTTCAATATATCGTTATGTATTATTGATCTAACTGACTTGCTATAAATTTTCTTTTGTATATAACATAGTTGAATAAATTTTCTATTCTATTCTATTCTATTCTATTCTATTCTATTCTATTCTATTCTATTCTATTCTATTCTATTCTATTCAATTCTATCCTATCCTATCCTATCCTATCCTATCCTATCCTATCCTATCCTATCCTATCCTATCCTATCCTATCCTATCCTATCCTATCCTATCCTAGCCTATCCTCCATATCGACATCTATAGGCCAAGACTCACCGAACACACTATCTTATTGACGATAACTCCGGGCACTCGCGTCGGACATGCCTGACAGTCTCATCTTCCTGTTCACACATCTGCATAAAGGTGTGTCCAGTAGCCCCATATTATGAAGGTGTTTCCTTAATTGACAGTGGCCAGTCAGAAATCCTACTGTTAAGCGTAGATTTATCCTGGTCATTGCCAGATATTTCTTCGGAGCCAGCTTCCCAGGGTCACAAAGGATAATCCTGACAAGATTGCATCCTTTGACTCCATCCCATCTCTTTAGGGATTGAGCATGGGTGTAACATTTGGCTGGTTCCGCAATTGTCCAAATCATCAGGCCGTAGGTGCCACTGGGTCCTAAAATTCTTAGTCCAGCCGCTTCCTTGTCTAAAGGGTCGGCAATGCGATTACCTTCACTACTGTCGTGTCCTTCAACCCACATCAGGATAATGTTATTATCTACCGAGGCTTTGGCTAAATCTTGGTGACACTCTAGTACTAACCCTGAGGTAACACGTTGTCTGTTCAAGGCTAATAGGGCTTGTCCGCTGTCAGTGCAGATTGTTATGTTTTTGCCAGACATTCCTTTCCTGGTTATTTTTTTTTATGCGTCGATTGAGATACCAGTCAGTTCTGTTTGGACCACGTTGGTATTTTTTCCCATTCCCCACTCAATCCTTAGGCTTAGTGATCTGGAGTACACTCCACATCCTGAACCTTCTTTGGTTTTCGAACCGTTTGCATATATGGGTTCAATTGCATCACTGGTTTCCTGCAGCAGAGGTTGAGCAGTAAGCGCTTCTCATCATAGGCTCAGCCTCAATTGACCCATTCCTACTTCGAGGTTTACAACAGCCATAACGCAACCTCCTCAACATATAGGTCTAGAGGAATCAGAACCGTAATTAATTCCATTGCCGCTGTTGGTGTTGTTCTCATGGATCCTATGATGTTTAAACAAGCCAGTTGCTGTATTTGCTGTTGTTGCTTGTAGAACTTTTGGTCCACATGCATTGGCTCTGTACGTTAACATAGGTCTTATTATTGCAGTGTTGATCCAGGTGACCACATGGGGTGAAAGACCCTATACGCGTCCCACTGTCCTCCGACATTGCTCATAAACCACATATGCTCTTTTTGCTCTACTCTGTAGATGAAAGTTCCATATTTTCTGTCGAGGATAGTACCAAGGTATTTCACATCTTCAGAGGAGTTTAGTTTGCCTCTGAAGATTTCGGGAGGTTTCAAGCTCGATAAATTTCTTCTCCTGGTGAAAAGGAGCATCTCAGTCTTTTTGGGATTGTATATAGAACAACTAGAACAGAAGAAAATAAAGAAATGAAATTCATTGTAAAACACTTTTTGCATCAGTCGAACTGTCAAAATTGAAAAGAAAAATGAATCGTTTGAGAAGAAGTGGGAGGAGATGGAGCTGGAGATGAGAAGCATATTTTTAGCGGTTCACTGAGGAGGTGAAGAGACGAATTCGGAAAATCTACGAGGTGGTCATGGAAGAAATAGAAATGAAACTAAATGATTGAGTGCGAAGGCTATTCAACAAAGACAAAGGAAACCAAGACTGGGACACATATAGAAAAAAACTTACGCAGTATAACAAAGAAATCCGAAAGGCAAAACGAGACTCATGGAGGAAATTTTGCATGGGGGTGGAAGAAACACTCCCTTCTGCAAGAATCCACCGAGTACTTGCCAAGGAATATACTGCAAGCCGAGTGTCCTCAAGAGGACAGAACCCAACTAGGCACCGAAGGCCAACGGCGGGGGATTGAGGGCTGGCCGTCGAAACCACTAGACCGGATAGGATCTAGTCTCGTGCTTTCGGCGGCGATCCAAAAATTCAAACCATACAAGTCACCAGGAATAGACGGAATCTACCCGGACTGGATGTGCTGATACCATATCTGAGCAGGCTTCTCATAGACTGTGTGGCCTGGGGATATATTTCAATATCAAAATATTAGACCAAACGCCCAAGTCATACAGACCTATCAGTC